TTCCTGTGCCCCCCCATCCCCGGTCCGGGGTTTGGCAGGACCTGCTGCTGCTGCAGATGGAGCTCGGGGGGGAAATCCCCCCCTGACACCCACCCCAGCCCCTGGGGTGTCCCCTGGGGTGATGCCACCCCTGTCCTTGAGATGTTCTTAGTGTCCCCAGGACATGGCAAGGGGGAGAGGGTCCCCTTGGTGATGGTGACATTGCCACCCTGCTCCCCACCCAGGGCTGGGTCCCTACAAACCCAGCTGGGGCATCAGCTGCTTCATGATTTGCCTTCAAAAAAAGCCTCCAAAGGTTATTTTATTTGGGGAGTTCCTGAGCCCTTTTCCTTCACCCCAGCCCCTCAGTGGGGACAGGGACAGGGACACACCTCCCTGAGCTGTGCTGGCAGCAAAGGACACTGTCCCATCCCCAGGAGACTCAGTCCCAGGAGCCTTTTTTCCCCCTGATTGTTGCTTATTGAGGTTATTTTCACTCCCCTGCAGCTGCCAATGGAGCAGTGATTGGGAACTGGCAGCATCTCCCTGGATTATTTTGGGGAGGTGACAGGCCAGGCTGTCCCCTCAGGCTGCTGGGGGGAGGTGTTTTGTCCCCCCCCTGGGCTGGATCCCTCTTGGAGGTGCCATCACCACATCAGCTGCCTGAACAACCTGAGTCATCTCCTCCATCCTGGGGAGGGGGATCTGGGCTGGGAAGTGGTTCCCAGCTGGAGCTGCCCAAGTTCTGAGCAGCTGGGGGAGAGAGGAAGGGATGGGGAATTGGTGGGAAGGGGAAGCCTGGGCCCTCCAAGGGGCTGGGGGGGGGTGGGTCCTGGGCAGGGAGAGGGTGGCTGGAGGTTGGGATGTGGGGACTGTGTGTCCTGGTGTCTGTGGCTGGTTGTGCCATGGGGACCAAGCCTCCTGTGCCCAATGCTGACCTGCTGGAGGGGTGAGGTGTCCATGGCCGTGTGAGCAGACACATCTATCACCCTCCCAAGGCCCAGGCAGCAGTTTCCCAGCCCCATCCCTCCTCCAGCCCTTTGCCAACAGCAGGGACTTTGCTTTGCTTTACTTCCCAGCCAGACCAACCCAGATGCCACCTGCCCCATCTTGCCCCAGTGCCCTCAGTGCCACCTGGGGAGGGCAGCCCCCTCTCCACCCAAAGGGACCCAGATGGTGACCACCCTGTGCCATATATTTCCCCAAGCAAGGCCACCTGCTTCCCACCCCCCTGCTGGAAGAGATGCTGAGCTGGGGGGGGAAAGAACCAACTGCTGGCTGTGCTGGGAGCCTCTGGAGAGCAGGGGGATGGGGTGGGGTGGGATGGGATGGGATGGGGTGGGGTGGGATGGGGTGGGATGGCACAGGTCTGCTCTATGCTGTCCAGCACTTGCACTGGTGGCTCTGGTTGCCATGGTCAACTGGACTGGGAAGTGGGTAAATGGTGGCACTGTGTGCTCCAAGGGAAGAGAGTGGGTGTTATACAGGGAAAAGGGGTGGGAATGCCAGTGAAGGATGAGCTAGGGAGGTCCTCGGGGGGTGCTGGCACCCCTGTTGTGCTCTTAACTAATCCAGCCACGTCCCAGCTGAGGTGGCTCAAATTAGCAGTCAAATCCCAACCTTCTTGAAGGAAACCCCCAGAGCTGTGAGGGCCCAGCTTGGCAGCACCACCGAGGCCCCAGTGGGGTGCTGGGCACCCCTGAAGGGGTGTTTGGTCACCCCAAAGATGAGCTGTGGCTCCACAGAGCTGGGCTGGGGCTGGGTGAGGGCAGGGCAGGAGGAAGAGGAGCAGCTCCTGGGGCAGGTTTCCCTCCTCCAGCCCCACCAGCCTGCAAAACCAGCAACATCCCTGTGAAGGTGATTTTTTTTCTTCTCTCTCTCCCCTCTCTCCATCTTCTTTCTTCTCCTGAAAGGCAAAAAAACACCCCACAAATCCCCTCCTGCAACTCACAGATGAGCAGGATCTTCCTCCCACTCTTCCTCCCCAAAACGGTCACAGCCCAGCACGAAGCTGGGGACAGACTCAGCTCCATGTCACCCTTCAGCCACATCCCTGTCCCTTTCCCACACACCACAGCCTCAGGAAGACACTTCCAGGACAATTTACTCCCTGATTATCATCCGGGGGGTGTTTTTTTCACTGGAGAAGCCTTTTAGGGCTGCAAAACCCCAGGTCTCAGCTGGTCTGTTCCCAGGGAGCCACTGGGAAGTTAAGAAAGCTAAGGAAAAATGGAAAACTGGGGATTTAATGATTGGAACAGCTCTTCTTCCCCATCTCTCTGTCTGCCCAACTAAATATAGAGTTATATTTTCTAACCCCAAGGTGCCAGCCCTCCTGCTCCAAGGGGGGTGAAGCAGCTCTGAGCCAACCACAAGTAATTAAAAGCAATATTAAACGAGCGAGGCCTAATGAAACCCTTGGGCTGGAGGAAACACTCTGCCCACAGGAGGTGTTTCTTGATGGAGAGGAAAAAAAAGGCTGAAAAAAGATCTTTTTTCTCGTTTGGTTTCTTTTCCCCTCCCTCCCCCAAAGTTCTGGGGTGTGTTTGGGGTGTAAATCCTTTCTTGCTCCCTGACGGATGCAGAGCCAGTGTTGGCTTAGCTCAAATGCTGCTGATCCAAGGGATTCTTTTTTGGGGGGGGTGTTTTTTGGGGTTTTAACTCACCCCTCCTGTGCATCTCCCGTGGTGTGGAAAGGTGGGCACAGTCCCTGGGGGCTGGGGACCCTCCTGTGCCCATGGAGGCAGCACCACCCAGGTTGATGCTGCTGCAGGGAGGCAGCACTTCCAGGTGTTGCCCCAACCTGCTTCCCAACCCCAGGATGGGTTCTTTTTTTTTGCCTTTTCCTAATGGAGAGCCCCATCCTCCTCCCACCCACAAAAAGCTACCAGCAAGAGGAAGAACACCACTAATGACTGTGCTCATTAATGACTTGCAATGACTTCCTGGGCTAAGTGCTCCCATTTCCCCTCCCTCTCCTCCTTCACCCAACACCCAGCCCTGGTGACCTTGGGACCCGTGGCTGCCAAGGGGCCATTTTTAATTTGCTGTAGCCCAGGTACCTGAGGAGCAAAGCAATTTTTTTCCCTCTTTCCTTGTGCTTCTACCTCCCTGGTCTCCAGGCACAGCCGGGATGACTCACGGCAGCAGCACAGGAGGGCAGGAGCTCAGGTTCCTTCCCCAGGGCTCCACAGATCTCATCAGCAGGAGTTTTTATGTTCAGACAGCAGCATCCCTGCCCCAAGGAAAGGATGTGTTTACCTGCAGACAGCACGTTTATCCCCTCGGTGGAAGGGACACCTCATGGTGGAGGTGGATCCTGGATCAGGGTGACTCAGCAAGCGAAGGAGCCAACAAGCATCAGGGGCTCAGGGGTGATCCCAGAGGGGGAGGGTGGGAAGGGACCTCTGGAGATCATCCAGTCCAACCCCTGCCAGAGCAGGATCCCTCAGAGCAGATCCCACACGAACATGAGCAGGCTGGAATGTCTCCAGGGATGGAGACTTCACAGCCTCCCTGGGCAGCCTGGCCCAGGGCTCTGGTACCTTCACAGCCAAGAAGTATTTTCTCTGATTCAGGTTCAACCTCCTGTGCTCCAGTTTGTCCCATTGCCCCTTGTCCTGTCACTGGACACCCCTGAGCAGAGTCTGGCCCATCCTCCTGCCACCCCCTGTAGCTATTGACCAGCACTGATCAGATCCCCCCTCAGCCTCCTCCTCTCCAGCTGAGCAGCCCCAGCTCTCCCAGCCTTTCCTCACAGGCAGATGCTCCAGCCCCTCAGTATCTCAGTGGCCCGTTCTGGACTCTCTCCAGCAGCTCTTTGACCTTCCTGAAGAGGGAATCCCAGAACTGGTCCCAGTTCTCCAGGTGTGGCCTCACCAGGGCAGGTCAGAGGGGCAGGAGAAGCTCCCTGACCTGCTGGCCACGCTCTTCTTGACACCCCCCAGGAGGCCACTGGCCTTCTTGGCTGGCTCCTGGTGAGCCAGAGGTGCCACCCATGTCCCCAGCACAAAGTTGGTGCCCTCACCTTGATTTCTTCTCATTTCTGGCTGTATTTCTGCTTGCTCCAGACTGGAGCAGCTCCCTCCCCAGCACCTCCCCAGTCCCAGCGCCGGTTCCCATTAACTCCCTAATTGCCCTTCGTGCCTGGCCAGGCTGCTGGAGCAGAGCACAATTAATTAACATTTGCTTCCCTGACGGTTGCTGACCCTGCCAGACCCAGGAGTAAATTGGCTGCTGTGGGTAATGGGTTTGCTGGGAGAGACTGGAGGCGGCGGCAGCTCCTGGGTAATCACCTCAGTCCAGCTATTTATATAGTTCCCTTTTGAAAGACAAGGCAGCTTGTTGGAAAAATGTGGCCTTGGGTGCCAGCTGCTCTGGGCTTCCAGGCTCATGGGGGACCTTGGCAAAAAAAAGGAGGGACAAATATGGGTTTGGGAAGGGAGGCAGCAGAGCTGGGATGTGGCTCCGTCCTGCCAGGATGGGGCAGGTTTTGTTCTGTCACCAGCCAGGAGGGGTGTGTGGGGCAGGGGGACAACAGGTAAAACAAGGGGAAAAAAGGCTCTGGGGTAGCAAATCAGTTTAAAAAAAACCAACAAAAAGCTGCAGAGAAGTTAAAAAATCACGTGCTGAGATGATTTCTCTTCTGCAGCTCCAGGAGGCTGAGGGGGTGGGAGGTGAGTCTTGAGCATCCAACTGATGTTTGGTCTCTCCCACCACCCAAACCTGCCCCAAACTGGGCTCATTCTGAGCCCAAACCTCTCCTGCTTCCCCAGCCCTCCCCTCAAGCTGCTCAAGACACTTCATTAGAACCCTGAAGATTCATCTCCTGCTCCTCATTGCCAAGTGCCCGAGAGCTCCTGGCAGGGAGAGAGAGAAGTGTCAGGCAGAAAAAAAAAGCCAACGTGGTTTGGTTGGGTTGGGTTTATTTTTTTCCCTTCCCCTGTAATATTTAGGTCAACTTCCTGATGTGGGAATTCATGTGGTCTGGGGGGAGAAGGCGTTTTAGAACAATTCTTGGGGTGTTTTCCCTCCATTCTTGGCCCTGGGAGGGAAGAGCTTGGGGAGGCTCCAGTGAAATGTCAAGAAAGGCTGATTGGGGTTTTTTTTGGAGGGGTTTTTAAGCTTTTAAAGAGGGGGGGGGTTGCTCAGTTCCTTCCCTGCCTGTTCAGCTCATGCTGAAACCCCACCCCACCCCC